CTGACTTGGCAGATGCTGTCACACAAGTTTTAGAGCTGCCACATTGAAGAGAGCACGGTTCCAGCCGAAAATCGACGGAGCCGATGAGCGTCGCGTCCGATCACTTCGCGAAGCACCCGCGTCTCCTTACGTCTCTAAGAATATAATATTCGCGTGGTCTATCGCTCCAGCCGGAAACATTCGGACGCAGACGCCCTAACCCGTTCGCCCCTACCCCCTGCCCCGGACTGCTGCGAACGTCTAACCTGTGATGCCACTGCCGTCCCCATCGCCGACATGCCATCTGCGCAACGCAAGGACCCTTGGGTTGCTTCGATTCTAGACATCCTGGCTGGGCGGATGGCTTCCCCCCTTCTCGCACGTTGCGTCGGCAAGTCGAGCACTTCGCCACTCGCGACGACGTGCTGTATCGACGCAACTACGCACCCAGTGGACGTCAGTGGCTACTCGTGATTCCACGTCATCTGCGATCCGAAATTTGTTCCACGTTTCGTGACGGCCCCCAATGTGGCCACGCAGGTTTTCTGAAGACTTATTCTCGCGTACGTCTCCGATATTACTGGCGTGGCATGTACCGTTTTATACGACAATACGTTCGGGCCCGCTCGACGTGCTAGAGACGAAAAACTCCCCCTTATCACGCCAGCGGTACCTTGTTACCCTTACCATGCCCATCCCGACCATTCGATCGCGTCGGCATCGATATCTATGGTCCCCTTCCCAACACTGCTGACGGCAACCACTGGATCATAGTTGCCGTCGACAATCTCACGCGGTATGCCGAAACTTCATCCCTTCCCTCGTCTACAGCAAAAGACGTTGCGACTTTCGTTCTTTACAACATCGTATTACGTCATGGAGCACCTCGGGAGTTACTGAGCGATCGTGGTCGCGTATTCTTGTCAGACGTCATCACAGCATTGCTGCGTGAGTGCCACGTCGTTCACCGCACTACAAGCGCCTATCATCCCCAGACCAATGGAATGACAGAGCGCTTCAACCGCACCCTTGATGACATGCTCTCTATGTATATTTCGTCAAACCACTCCAATTGGGACCGAGTGCTCCCGTTTATCACGTTCGCCTATAATACTGCCATTCAAAGCACTACTGGGTTCTCTCCTTTTTTCCTCCTTTACGGACGCGAACCTTCTTGCACTATGGACACCATTCTTTCGTACAAACCTGACTCCTCAGAGTCCACGACTTTGTCTCAAGCCGCTACATACGCTGAAGAATGCCGCCAACTGGCAAGATCATTCACAACCCAAGACCAAAGACGCCAGAAGCACCACCATGATGCATCAAATAACACTACTTCCTACGATCCAGGTTCACTCGTCTGGCTGCATGTCCCTTCTGCTACACCTGGCCTTTCTACCAAGTTGGTCCCCAAGTATCACGCCCCATATCGTGTGCTACGAAAAACTTCACCAGTGAATTACCTCATTGAGCCACTGGAACCATCTTCTGACCAACGTTGTCGTGGCCAGGAAATTGTCCACGTCTCGAGACTTAAGCCCTGCTACGACCCTCCCGTGTTTACTTGTTCATAGGTCGCCAGAATGGCTCCTCATTTCGCGGGGAGTAATTGTAATGAATCTGAATAACGGACGCTCAGCTGGTAATGAAGAAGACGATGATGATCGGTGGTTGTAGAAGTAGCTCGCGCACGCCGCTCCCCATTAGCCAGACCTGCCTGATAAAGCACATTTTGCCAAGCTGCGTCTGAACCTTTCTCGACGTACAACACCTCTATTTTAATATATATATATATATATATATATATATATATATATATATATATATATATATATATATATATATATATATATATGGGAAAGAAATGTATACCTAAGGGCTCGTTTTTCCGTGTTTTGACACCATATTAATGAGATCTAACAGACAGTCGATGATTGATATGTGGGGTTTAACGTCCCAAAACCACCATATGATTATGAGAGACGCCGTAGTGGAGGCCTCCGGAAATTTCGACCACCTGGGGTTCTTCAACATGCACCGAAATCTGAACACACGGGCCTACAACATTTTCGCCTCCATCGAAAATGCAGCCGCCGCAGCCAGGATTCTATCCCGCGACCTGCGGGTCAGCAGCCGAGTATTTTAGCCACTAGACCACTGCGGCGGGGCTTAAAACAGACAATAATGCCAAGGAATGTACAGAGGAAGTTATTAGAACCAATGCAATGTAAATAAAAAGAATGAAAAGTGGGAGAAAAAATAACTTGCCATGTATATATTAGAGTTACCACTTGAAAAAAGACACGCCGTATTAAGATACACGATGGAGCTGGCTGCAAATATTGAGAATTTTAGCCCTCCTGGTCATCTTAAATTGTGCCCGTTTCAAACTATTTTTGTTTTCTCAGAAATCAATTTTTCATGTATTTTTCGGTAAGCGAACAGTCGTACCTCTCTTGCAAATAGTCATATTTATTGCAGCTTTGCACACTTCCTTATATAGGCGTGCAAGATCGTGTCCCAAGATTGAATATGACATATGTGGTCTGTGATATGGCTGCGAAGGATCCACAGTGTACGGTATGTATGGTACACCCCATACACCATGGCCTCACGAACTCATGAAGTCGTTAAGGCGTGGGTGGCCTCTCCGGTTGGCAGTGTAGTGCTTTGAAATTGTTATCAAAAAAAAAACAGAGGGAGAGGAAAGAAGGAAAGTAAGAAAAAAGCGTGTAATGTCAAATTCGTGGTCAGCGCACGGTGAATGTGTTGTGTATGATAATGTCATCGGTCTCATGCTGCGATATACAGGTTTTGTGTACGTACAACAAAAACATAGTATTGGCTCCTGATTCTAGTTCTTTGATGTTGCTTCGTAACACGCTCACTCACAAGAAACATCTCATAACTTACGTCACCACAACTTCATCTTCAATGCTTGTTGCACCATGCTCCATTTTGTTTCAGATTCAGCACGAATGCTTTCTATAATTGTGATGCAAATGAATGCCACTTCCAATGACCGACATAAAGGCTTTGAGTATATTTATTTATATTACAGTGGCATCGCCAGAAATTTTTTCAGGTGGGTTAAACCATGGTTGATGCATGTGCGTGAATTTGTATGATTGCGTGTATTCAGAGTCGACTATGAAAGTGATGCACATGATTTCATGACGCAACTATACATGGCAATGTGATAAATAACAAAGAAAAAACAGCGCAAAAGTCTGACAGGATAAAGTATAAAGAAGGCACAACTTGACCTCCTCCATCATTTTCTGCCTGTCATAATTCCGTGCTTTTTTTTTTCTGTAGTAAGAATAACCAACTATATACCCTCAGCCTCAACCTTAGCAAGTGTGGTAAAATTCGTCGGGCAATGCGTTGGGGGGTCTGCCCTTCTAGCACAGCCAGTCACAAGTATATTTTGGGCAGTGCAAGCGAAAGACATTCCTCCACGTGAAACTTTTTTTTTTACTATGTAACACGACGTGATGAAGCATTTGATTGAGCAGCAATATGCTAACAAGTTTTACGTGAAGCTTGAAAAGAATCTAACTGACACATTCCAGATGCTGCGAAAGGCCTTAAAGATTGACTGCATTTTAAGGTTACAGTCTAAGAGGTGGCACAAGGCGTTCAAGGAAGGCAGGGAGGAGGTCTCCAACGAACCCCTTTTCGGACACCTAACAATCCGCCCAAGAATGTGAATGAGCAAGTGGCGCATTGAAATGATGCTCATTACCATCTTTGACATTCCAAGAATCACCCATTTTGAGTTTGTACTACAGGAATGAACTCTTACGTCATATTATGCAGTGTATCTCTGACGTCATATTAACGTGGATCGCTAATGGCGGACGCCAATGAGCGTCTCTTTCGCATGCTCGATATGCCATAGAGTTACGTGTTCCTCGATAAGCAAAGAGTCTACACAGGTCCACTCGGGCTGATGACACAGTTAGCGCATGTAGCTGCCGATGGTGCAGCATTGTTGTTGTAAAGCGGCCGTTTCACGACCCGTTTAAACTCTATACTTCTCATTACTGAAAGTACCTCGACCAGCCATGGTGTCACGGTGGTAATGGGGTTGCAGAATAAAATCTGGCTGTGACAGCCGTATTTCAATGAAGGCAACAATGCTAGAGGCCCGTGTACTTGGATTTGGGCACACTATAAAGAACCTTAGGTAATTGAAGGTTCCAGAACCCTCCATTACAGTGTCCCTCACAACCACATTCTGGTTTTGCTACATAACCCCTGCTGGAAAAAAAAACTGCAAGAACTTGGAACATCATTCAGAAAACGGGCCCGCTTACCGTTGCAGCAATGAATTAAGAGATTACAGGTTACGTCGAACATACTAATATGCATGTGCAAACATAAGCAAAGCAATTATTTTCCAGTGCTTAGCACCATAGCATTGGGAACTCTCACTTAATCCACTTTCATGGTAAACCAAACCTTAAACTTTTTTGAACATCTGCATTGTCACCTAAGAAATTCTTATGCATAATAACTTCCCTATAAACTCAACAGCCAAAGGTTCTGAAATCATTATGCACATTAAACCTTCATTGTGTGATTTATGAAACCAGCAAAAAAAAAATATTTTCAAGCTTTACATAGCAACCTTGCATTGATTCCGCACTTACATTATCTAAAATTCAACTTGAATACATACATACAGGTATGTTGCAAATTTGCAGCATGCCACAAAAGCAAGGATCTTGTAATAAAAACGTACTTAATAACTTTGTAACATGTCGTGTGCTACCTCTTGGGTACGCAGACACCAACGAAATTATAGAAGACTGAAGTTACATCACTCAGGCGAGAAAATATGAAACGAGAGATGTTCACATGCATCGTGCTTTCCACCATCAGCTACACAACACCTGCTTTGAGCATAAAATTCTTGACACATCACAGTGCTAGATATTTCCTGCTGTAAGCTATGTTGTTTGTGAGTACTTCGCAACTGGCGTTAAAGGCGGCACACATTTCGTGACTTGCTTGCTCAGAGTTTTCTGGAATGTCGCATATTGGCGGCACACGTCAGTAAAGGTTTTTGTAAAAGATCACCTTTTAGTACAACAAATCAGTGATGTAACCTCCACATTAGAAACACTGGCACCCCTGCCCTTCTAAGCTTCATTTGAATGACGTCTTGAGATATGGCGACTGAGGGCGATTTTCTGTGAAAAGGATTCATTGCAGTAGATGCAGGAATACGGACACTCTCCTGTGTGGGTACGTAAGTGTACTGTGAGGTAGGATTTCAGTGTAAAGGATGCATTGCAGTGAACACACGAGTAAGGGCGCTCTCCCGTGTGGGTGCGCATGTGTAGCTTGAGGATGCCTTTTTGGGAAAAAGACGCATCACAGTGGCCACAGGAAAAGGGGCGTTCGCCGGTGTGGGTGCGCATGTGCTTCACGAGGGTGTCTCTCTTCAAAAAGGCTGCACCACATTGGTCACAGGAAAACGGGCGCTCTCCAGTGTGGGTGCGTACGTGTTCCTTGAGGTGAGACTTTTGTGAAAACGATGCATTGCAGTAGAGACAGGAGAAAGGACGCTCTCCTGTGTGGGTGCGCAAGTGTTCCTTGAGGCCGTTTTTCCGTGAAAAGGATGCATTGCAGTGGGTGCAAGAGAAAGGACGCTCTCCGGTATGGGTGCGAATGTGCTCTGTGAGGCGGATATTCGCAGTGAAAGCAGCAGGGCACAGGTGACACTGGAAGCGATGCTCCATTGTGTGTCGGCGAAGGTGTTCTTTCATGTTTCTCTTAATCTTGGTCGTATAGGCACACTGCCGGCAGGAATGCACATCATCTTCTACAGAGACGAGCAAATGGTACTGGTCACGGAATGCCCCAGACAAGGAACCTGCATAGCCACAGGAAGGCAATGCAAATCACAGATCCCACAATATACATGAAGTAAACTTGAGCAGCAAAATAACAAGGGTTGCTGCACGTGTTACTTTAACAAAACAGTACATTGATTCAGGACATGCCTTATACAAGTTGCCATCTATCTATGCACACTCTTACCTTGATCGATGCAGGTACTACCAAATTTCAATATTAGTACACCAAGATAGGCAAATTTCTCTCTGTAGATAATATTATTTCAGCAGTTTTACTTGACAAAACCACACGATCATGAGGTATACTACTGCATAGCTTCAGAAATTTAGACTTGCTAGGGCCCTCTATCGTGCACCTATGTCTAAGTACATATGTCGCTTTCGTGTCGCACTTCAGTTCCACCGAAACGCGACCGCTGCCGCCGATACTAACTCGTTCAACTAATTATTAGTGTTTTGCATAAAGGTATCTATATGATCAAGCAGAGAAAAAGCACCAAATAATAAAATATGAGCAACATTTAATTTGAAACAAACAGGATAACTGCATATTGTGCATTCATTAAACACTTTCTTTCATTTCACTGCTATAACGCGTCTGCAATAAGCCTGAACCTAATGAAACATGCACGACATTGGGTAATAATGTTTAAGAAGCACTCCTCAGTTTATTGCAATCATGCCAAAGATAACCGAAAAGGGTGTACGTTACCTTCACAGAGAGTAATTGCATTCGCATCATGCCGATCATCCACCCTCGGCTTCTCGTCCCACAATGCCGTAACTCCATTCGAATAATGCCTGTGATCAACAATCGGCTTCAAGTCCGCAGTAATTACTTCATTGGCATAGTGTCCGTGATCAACAGATGGATCCACGTCCTCCGTAACTTCATTCCCATGGAGCCCATGATCAACACTCGGCTTGTTGTCCACCAATGTCATAACTTCATTCGAATAATGTCCGTGATCAACTAACGGCTTCAAGTCCACCGTAACTTCCTTCGCATAATGTTTGTGATCAACACTCGGCTTCACGTCCGACGTAAATTCATTCGCATAATGCCCATGGTCAATGTTCGGCTTCACGTCCGTCGTAACATCGTTCGCATAATGTCCGTGATCAACAGTAAGAATCACGTCTACCGCAACTTCATTCGCATAATGATTTTCGCCAATTAAGTCTTCAGCACTCGATTTCACATCCGCCGATGCACTAGTCGCTGTCAAAATGCCGTCCATTGCACCACTGCCTCCTTTACTTAGGAGGCTATGAAGAATAGAGAAGGCCATCATTACGCACGTTTCACCTAGAGAACGTCGCCCGTCGCGGTTTCACTTTATGCAGCGGTCAGGAATGAAGTTACCACTCACACCTTGAATAACTAATGCAAATAACACCAGGATAACACATTACAAAGTCCCAGATCGGCGAGACGCATACGTAGCATAATTTTTTGGCTATTATTGGCTATACTTCTTTTTGCGCGGTTGTCAATAATGATGGATGTTGCAAAAAATACTCTCCACTGGGTTTTCACGTATCAAGCCAACTAAATGAAAGAATTTTTTTTTCAAAAAATGTCGTTTTTGGTGTTTGTTTATGTTGAATTCTTGTCATTTTTGGTGAACAGAGATTCTGTGTATACACTTTTATGGAAAAGATACACGCAAAGAGAACACTGGTCAATTACGAAACCGAAACTGTAAGTGGCTTGTGAACATCATAAGAATAGTCTGATGAGCAGTATTTTGTTGGTTACCTAACAGCAATCATATGAAGTGCTCAGCATGTCATAATTATCTACAGGCATCGTGAACGCGTAACTTGGTACACGTGTTGTTCACGCTCAAGGACACGTATGTGAGTATGTGTGAACCATCAAACTTATTCAATTGCTTTGTTAAATGAAGTAACCTGTCGTTCTCTCTTCAACGGCTCTCTACAGTATCTTGCAGTGCTTGTCTAGCGGCCCACGGCCACCTGGACCGGGCCACAGAACACCTATCAGTTGACCAGGCGGCCGTGAGCGGCGCTTGGAAGATGAGAGGGTCGCGAAGTGTATGGATTCCCCCCCCCCCCCCTCTCTGTCTCTCTCTTTCTTTTTTTTTTTTTTTGTTGTAGGTCGTCTCACACATCCTCCTCAATGGCTTTTTTTTTTTCATTTGCCTTTAGCTAGGGATATTTTTACGCCTGTATTTTTATTAATGCTAAGCCACTATACATGCGGCATAGAGTTTCATGCACGCGCACCACATCATCATCACATAACATCATTTTGTGAGAAACTGTTTGATTTTACTCAAGCAGGTTTATATAAACATTAACATCCTTAATTTGAGTATGGCCTCTAGGACCATTATATGACGCCAAACGCCTACGTTTTTTTTTTTTTTTTTTGCGGTCTGTCGATTGTCGCAAAGTACTAGGTGTTTTCTGATGGTCCTGTAGGCAGTCGCCAGAGAATGCAGGCCACGCGCTCACGTGTTCCCTTTCATAAAGGAAGACATTGTACATGTGTGTGTCATTTCAATGATGGCTGTTAAAAATAAAGAAGTGGGACAGGGGCTTGTGAAGAGGCGCGAGAGACTCAGAGAATACGAACTAAGCAAGAAGGCGAAGCTAGCACTGACAGAGTAAACATCGCCGTTTAGAGTAGAGACAACGGGTCCTTGTTTTTAACAATAAAAACCAGAAGCACATTTGATATTTTTAGAGATATTCAGATTGAGCCTGGCCCTTACACTGGAAAAGCGTGCCGCACAAATTATTAGCACCGCAGCGCTGCTTTAAAGTGCATAGTCCTGACACTGATGCTGCAAAACCACACACACACACATATATATATTGTACCGAAGCATAGTGGCGCCAGCTCTGTGCCAGCGTGAAAGAAGACGTTGACGCCCGTGTGTGGCTCGTGCTTGCCGGGTTCCTTGCCTGTACCAGCTTGTTGCGGCTAACTTTTCTCGAATAATAACCTGTGTTTTCACGCAACCTTGCTCGTTGCATTTGGTGGAAACGTGCTGGGTAACGCCCTGGAGCTCTGCAGCCGTAAGCTACCATCTCAGTCTGCGATGACCGAGCGCGTCGATCCCCCACAAGGCTCTTCCACACTGCCACCTGTCATGCGTTCTGGTGAACTTCGTCTGCATGACCCACCAGTATACAACGGCACTGAAGATCAAGATGTCGAGGACTGGCTAGCAGATTACGAGCATGCCAGCACGATTAACAAGTGGGATGACCCTGCAAAGCTGACTCACGTCATATTCTACTTGACGGATTTGGCCAACCTGTGGTTCACCAACCACCAAGCTGACATCCCCACCTGGTCAGTTTTCAAAGAGGCCGTCACCTCGTTTTTCGGTCGTCCAGCCATGCGTAAGCTTCGTGCTGAACTGGGCCTGCGGGGACGATTTCAGCGAAATGGTGAGAGCTTCACGAGCTACATTGAGGATGTGATCAGCCTCTGTAGGCGAGTTGATGCGAGGATGGAGGCTGACAGAATAAAGAATATATTTAAAGGCATTGATGTTGACGCTTTTCATATGCTCGTCGCCAAAGACCACAGACCGTCACGGCCGTGATTCAGCTATGTCAAAGTTTCGATGAGCTGCGCAAGCAACGAATTTCTACACGTCGCGCTAATACGGAAACTGCTTATATTTCAGCTTTGGAGTGCAAAAGCAGTGGCCCCGGCTACAGCGTGTTAATGCCTCAAATTCAACAGTACATCCGGGAGGAAGTTGCTCGACAGCTCTCTCTTGTCGCCACCATCAACGAGACCCCCACAACACTGGATCACTCACTTCGCCGTGCTATTCAGACGCAAGTTGCCGAGGCTCTCCCTTCGCCCGCGTCCCCAATATCAGTGGCTGCACCGCTGACTTATGCAGAAGCCGTCCGCCGACCTCCAGCCGAACCGCCGCTCCCTTCATACGGTCCAGCCACCAACTACTACAGGTCACCAGTTTCGGTTTATCCAGTAAATCGGCCCTTTCCACCACCCCGAGCACCAGTAAACTCTTGGCGTACTCCGGATAACCGGCCCGTCTGCTACAACTGTGGTATTCCAGGACATGTCGCGCGTTACTGTCGTCGCCCTGGATTCTATTTTAATGATGTTCAGCATTCTGGCAACATACCTCGGCAATCAGAATCGCATGTGACACCCGATTCACATGACCCCCGCTCACGTCGACCAGACTTCACCCCGTCTTCGGACTCCTTCCCCCATGCTTCGCCGTTCCAACCACGCCCAGGAGGAAAACTAACTGTTGCAGTTCCCGAGGCAAGAGCTGCACCACCGATGAAATTTCCAAGGCCTCATCTTTCGCCCCCTAACGAGATTGCCGTGTTTGTGGACGGTTTCGCCACAACTGCTCTTGTCGACACAGGTGCCGCTATTTGTATAATCAGTGAAGTGTTATGCCGCAAACTGAACAAAGTGACGACTCCACTGGTTGAAATTTCTTTACGAACAGCGAGCTCGCAACACGTCCAACCTTCTGCCACATGCACTGCTCGTGTTGTGATTCAAGGAGTGCTTTACATCGTTGAATTTGTCGTCCTTCTGCATGCGTCTCATGAAATCATCCTGGGATGGAACTTTCTTTCCGCTAATCATGCGGTTAATAATAATGAGATGTAACAGACAATAGTGCATATATATATATATATATATATATATATATATATATATACACATATATATATATATATGTGTGTGTGTGTGTGTGTGTGTGTGTGTGTGTGTGTGTGTGTGTGTGTGTGTGTGTGTTGCCGCTTGAGAAAAGACACGCAGTATTAAGATACACGATGGATCTGGCTGCAAATATTGAGAATTTTAGCCGTCCTGGTCATCTTAAATTGTGCCCATTTCGAACCATTTTTGTTTTCTCGGAAATCATATTTTCAGGTATTTTTCGGTAAGCAAACAGTCGTACCTCTATTGCAAGTAGTCATATTTATTACAGCTTTGCACACTTTCTTATATAGGCATGCAAGATCGTGTCCCAAGATTGAATATGACATAGGTGGTCGGTGATATGGCTGCGAAGGTGCCCCAGTGTATGGGATGTATGGTACACCCCACACACAAGGGCCTCACAAACTCATGAAGTCGTTAAGACGTGGGTGGCCTCTCCTGTTGGCAGTGTAGTGCTGAGAAATCGTTATCAGAAAAAAAAAGGAGAGAAAAAAGAAGGAAAGTAAAAAAAAAAATCACGGATTGTTAAATTCGGGGTCAGCGCACGGTGAATGTGTTGTGTATGGTATCGTCATCGGTCTCATGCTGTGATATACAGGTTTTGTGTACGTACAACAAAAACATAGCATTGCGTCCTGATTCTAGTTCTTTAGTGTTGCTTCGTAACACGCTTGCTCACAAGAAACATCTCAGAACTTACATCACCACAACTTCATCTTCAATGCCTGTTGCACCATGCTCCATTTTGTTTCACATTCAGCATGAATGCTTTTTATAATTGTGGTGCAAATGAATGCCACTTCCAATGATCGGCATAAAGGCTTTCAGTATATTTATTTACATTACAGTGGTGTAGCCAGCAATTTTTTCAGGTGGGTTAAACCATGGATGATGCATGTGCGTGAATTTGTATGTGTGCAGTGTATTCAGAGTCGACTATGAAAGTGATGCACATGATTTCATGACGCAACTATACATGGCAATGTGATAAATAACAAAGAAAAAACAGCGCAAAAGTCTGACAGGATAAAGTATAAAGAAGGCACAACTTGACCTCCTCCATCATTTTCTGTCCTGTCATAATTCCGTGCTTTTTTTTTCTGTAGTAAGAATAACCAACTATATACCCTCAGCCTCAACCTTAGCAAGAGTGGTAAAATTCGTCGGGCAATGCATTTGGGGGTCTGCCCTTCTAGCACAGCCAGTCGCAAGTATATTTTGGGCAGTGCAAGCGAAAGACATTCCTCCACGTGAAACTTTTTTTTTACTATGTAACACGACGTGATGAAGCATTTGATTGAGCAGCAATATGCTAACAAGTTTTGCGTGAAGCTTGAAAAGAATCTAACTGACACATTCCAGATGCTGCGAAAGGCCTTAAAGAATGACTGCATTTTAAGGTTACAGTCTAAGAGGTGGCACAAGGCGTTCAAGGAAGGCAGGGAGGAGGTCTCCAACGAACCCCTTTTTGGACACCTAACAATCCGCCCAAGAATGTGAATGAGCAAGTGGCGCATTGAAACGATGCTCATTACCATCTTTGACATTCCAAGAATCACCCATTTTGAGTTTGTACTACAGGAATGAACTCTTACGTCATATTATGCAGTGTATCTCTGACGTCATATTAACGCGGATCGCTAATGGCGGACGCCAATGAGCGTCTCTTACGCATGCTCGATATGCCATAGAGTTACGTGTTCCTCGATAAGCAAAGAGTCTACACAGGTCCACTCGGGCTGATGACACAGTTAGCGCATGTAGCTGCCGATGGTGCAGCATTGTTGTTGTAAAGCGGCCGTTTCACGACCCGTTTAAACTCTACACTTCTCATTACTGAAAGTACCTCGACCAGCCATGGTGTCACGGTGGTAATGGGGTGTGGAATAAAATCTGGCTGTGACAGCCGTATTTCAATGAAGGCAAGAATGCTAGAGGCCCGTGTACTTGGATTTAGGCACACTATAAAGAACCTTAGGTAACTGAAGGTTCCAGAACCCTCCACTACAGCACCCCTCGCAACCACATTCTGGTTTTGCTAACCCCTGCTGGAAACCCTGCTGGAAAAAACCCCTGCTGGAAAAAAAAAAACTAAGAACTTGGAAAATCATTCAGAAAACGGGCCCCCTTACCGTTGCAGCAATGAATTAAGAGATTCCAGGTTACGTCGAACATACTAATATGCATGTGCAAACATAAGCAAGGCAATTATTTTCCAGTGCTTAGCACCATAGCATTGGAAACTCTCACATAATCCACTTTCATGGCAAACCAAACCTTAAACTTTTTTGAACATCTGCATTGTCACCTAAGAAATTCTTATGCATAATGACTTCCCTATAAACTCAACAGCCAAAGGTTCTGAAAACATTACTATGCACATTAAACCTTTATTGTGTGAATTATGAAACCAGCTAAAAAAATCATTTTTGAGCTTTACATAGCAACCTTGCATTGATTCCGCACTTACATTATCTAAAATTCAACTTGAATACATACATACAGGTATGTTGCGAATTCGCAGCATGCCACAAAAGCAAGGATCTTGTAACAAAAACGTACTTAATAACTTTGTAACATGTCGTGTGCAACCTCTTGGGTACGTAGACACCAACAAATTTATAGAAGACTGAAGTTACGTCACTCAGGCGAGAAAATATGAAACGAGAGATGTTCACATGCATCGTGCTTTCCACCATCAGCTACACAACACCTCTTTGAGCATAAAATTCTTTACACATCACAGTGCTAGATATTTCCTGCTGTAAGCTATGTTGTTTGTGAGTACTTCGCAACTGCCGTTAAAGGCGGCACACATTTCGTGACTTGCTTGCTCAGAGTTTTCTGGAATGTCACATATTGGCGGCACACGTCAGTAAAGGGTTTTGTAAAAGATCACCTTTTAGTACAACAAATCAGTGATGTAACCCCCACATTAGAAACACTGGCACCCCTGCCCTTCTAAGCTTCATTTGAATGACGTCTTGAGATATGGCGACTGAGGGCGATTTTCTGTGAAAAGGATTCATTGCAGTAGATGCAGGAATACGGACGCTCTCCTGTGTGGGTACGTAAGTGCATTGTGAGGTTGGATTTCAGTGTAAAGGATGCATCGCAGTGAACACAAGAGTAAGGGCGCTCTCCCGTGTGGGTGCGCATGTGTAGCTTGAGGTTGCTTTTTTGGGAAAAAGACGCATCACAGTGGCCACAGGAAAAGGGGCGTTCGCCGGTGTGGGTGCGCATGTGCTTCACGAGGGTGTCTCTCTTCACAAAGGCTGCATCACATTGGTCACAGGGAAATGGACGCTGTCCTGTGTGTTTGCTTACGTGTTCCCTGAGGTCACGCTTTCGTGGAAAGGATGCATCGCAGAAGAGACAGGAGAAAGGACGCTCTCCTGTGTGGGTGCGCAAGTGTTCCTTGAGGCCGTTTTTCCGTGAAAAGGATGCATTGCAGTGGGTGCAAGAGAAAGGACGCTCTCCGGTATGGGTGCGAATGTGCTCTGTGAGGCGGATATTCGCAGTGAAAGTAGCAGGGCACAGGTGACACTGCAAGGGATGCTCCATTGTGTGTCGGCGAAGGTGTTCTTTCATGTTTCTCTTAATCTTGGTCGTATAGGCACACTGCCGGCAGGAATGCACATCATCTTCTACAGAGACGAGCAAATGGTACTGGCCACGGGCTTCCGCAGAAACAGAACCTGCATAGCCACAGGAAGCACAGCAAGGCAATGCAAATCATAGATCCCACAACATACATATAACTAGATTTGAGCAGCAAAATAACAAGGGTTGCTGCACAAATTACTTTAACAAAACAGTACTATGATTCAGGACATGCCTTATACAAGTTGCCATCTATCTATGCACACTCTTACCTTAATCGATGCAGGTACTACCAAATTTCAATATTAGTACACCAAGATAGGCAAATTTCTCTCTGTAGATAATATTATTTCAGCAGTTTTACTTGACAAAACCACACGATCATGAGGCATACTACTGCATAGCTTCAGAAATTTAGACTTGCTAGGGCCCTCTATCGTGCACCTATGTCTAAGTACATATGTCGCTTTCGTGTCGCACTTCAGTTCCACCGAAACGCGACCGCTGCCGCCGATACTAACTCGTTCAACTAATTATTAGTGTTTTGCATAAAGGTATCTATATGATCAAGCAGAGAAAAAGCACCAAATAATAAAATATGAGCAACATTTAATTTGAAACAAACAGGATAACTGCATATTGTGCATTCATTAAACACTTTCTTTCATTTCACTGCTATAACGCGTCTGCAATAAGCCTGAACCTAATGAAACATGCACGACATTGGGTAATAATGTTTAAGAAGCACTCCTCAGTTTATTGCAATCATGCCAAAGATAACCGAAAAGGGTGTACGTTACCTTTACAGAGAGTAATTGCATTCGCATCATGCCGATCATCCACCCTCGGCTTCTCGTCCACCAATGCCGTAACTTCATTCGCATAGTGTCCGTGATCAACACACGGCTTCGAGTCCGCAGTAACCTGATTCGCGTAGTGTCCGTGATCAACACACGGCTTCACGTCCGTCGTAACTTCGTTCACATAGTGTCCGTGATCAGCAGTAAGCTTCACGTCTACCGCAACTTCATTCGCATAATGATTTTCATCAACCATGTCTTCAACCTTCGGCTTCTTATCCGTCGATGCACTAGTCGCTATCAGAGTGCCGTCCATTGCACCATCTCCTCCTCTAGATACACGGACGTAAGTCTAGACAGGAGCACAGAACACCTATACACTATCATTTAGAATAGGAGGCTATGACCACAGCCTCCTAGATTTACTTGCCTGTCGGATTATCGGCGGTCACTTAGGAAGCGGCCGTCGTCGGAACCCCCCTACTTAAGACAACCGTTTAATGGGCCTAACAGCAGCGAGACAGCAGCCAGTGGTTTCACCAGCAACTGCAGCATATTTTCCCTTCCTCCATGAGCTGCAGCAGCACGAGCCTCCGCCACAACAAACATCTCTTTTTTTTTTTTTTTTGTCGTTTCTATTGCAAAGCCCGTATTTGTCACTACATAATTTTTTACGTTTTTGGAGCATATATGAAACAAAAATAACGTATAAAAATATTTCAAAAGGCGTAAACGCAATTATATTTAACCCTGCGTAAGTAACGCCACCATACATAACAGGCGTTTTGCACTCATTCAACAGGCAACCCCTTCAATACAAGGCTTGTTGGTGAAACATTTGGAAGAAATTTATGTGGCGCGAGGCGAAAAAACGAACACAGGAAAGAATATACTGAGAGGACAGAGCGCTCTGTCCTCTCAGTCTATTCTTTACTGTGTTCGTAAGTCAAGCGACGACAGGCTTTTCTCTCTTCGTTTTACTCTATGGTCGAGACTCGAGAGCAATCATCTCCAATCGACACCATTCGCCCCTACCGACCATAGAGTTTCTTAATATCACGTGCTTAATATACACTAGGGGGAACTCTGGCGCAAGTGTTTATGGGAGCTGCCACAGAGAGATGCAATACACGGCGCGTCAGCGAGGATGGGTAGTAGACACATTTGTCTAATTTTCGCACTCCTGGCCTGCTTCTGGCTCCGTATGTGTTCGTGTGACTTGAAGCTGTTTTTTTTACAAAAACATAAATTAGCAAATGTTCACCGTTTGCGCTTCACAACCTTATAATTATAGGCTTACCATTTTGAATTAAGACACTAAGGTCAAAATGGTTCGTTTTTTTTTTCAAAGCAAAACCGTAACTAGCATTAAACGAAGCCGCAAGTACGATTCGTTCTCACAAGTACGAAGACTAGGCAAATGTGTATACTACCCATCATTCCCATCATGGAGGAGGGAATGATGGGTAGGAAACAAGGAGGATCCTTCCTCCGGGATCCTTCCTCCGTGATTCCCATGGTCGCTGAACGATCGCAGTGCCAGAGTGCCATCTAGTTATTTTAGTTATTTTTGGAAACTCTATGCTACCTACCCGACTCATCCGAAGGCACACCAGTTTCCGAAGCCGCTCGGTATGCGGAAGAATGTCGACAATTAGCTCGCGCCCTTACAACACAAGAACAAGGGCTACAAAAATTTCGTCATGACGATGGACGGTCTCACAACCAGTTTTCGCCCAACTCTCTTGTTTGGCTGTGGGTGCCTCCCGCTGCTGCTCCTGGCATAGAGTTGTCATAATGTTGAGAAACTCTGCGGCTCCTGGTGCATCTACAAAGTTCGTCAGCAGGTACCATGGGCCTTAAAGCGTCATAGAGAAAACTTCCGCTGTCAACTACCTCATCGAACCCCTCACGCCTACTCCGGACCTGCGTCGCCGAGGACGCGAAATCGTGCACGTCGATCGTCTCAAACCATATCACGAACCACTTCTTCTCACGACACCTTAGAACACCTACTTGGCGCCGTCTTCAGCGAAGGGGAAAAATGTAATGATGAATGTAGTGGATCATGCATAGCTCGGAAAACACATCGCCAGTACGCTCGTGCCGGACGTTATCGCTGCTTTCGCTGGCTAGGCCTACGCTCCTACCTGGTTTCAAACAACAGTTCTGACTGTCACAGTTCTTTATTATACAAGGCATAGCCTCTAAAATCTGAAAACGTCAAAATTGCTCATCTCAAAGGCCAAGTACAAATAGCTTTATTCCTACGTAGGTAGCGCAGTCACAGAGACTACTGCTGCGGCGCACGGGCCACCCCGCAACAGCTGCTGAGCCGCACAGATGTGACGTCATGCATTTTTTTTTTTGTTAGGCGCTTTGTTTGAATAGTCGGAGAGTTTAGCGGTACACCTAGACGTTATGATAGAAGCCGTCAAAGCTACGTCCAAACGTAGAAGTAAAAAAACAAGTCTGTAATGTCCCGCGTGACAACATCAATGCGAAACTGGCTTGTTAATCAATCCAAACCAATTAGCAGCTGGTGCGTAGTTCGTTAGAGTGGCACAACAAGAATTGGTGAGGTCGGTGGTTCGAGCCTTGGTGCAATCTTCATTCGACTCACGCAAAATTAGCTATATTTATTATGATAAAGTGTTTTGCGAATTAATTCTCTTCATCGGCGAGACGGAAAACACACGAAAAACTCAAATGCAGCTGGCTGCATTGGTTTCTCCGGCACACATGTCTGGAATGTTATTTCCACGGTTTATCAAAGTTTTGATGACAGAAAGGCGCATCGCAACGTAGTATTAGTAAACTTTTTTATGTCGTTCAGTGTACTATCACCTGACGAGGTAACCGGCAGGCCGCTTCAAAATACTGACGAGCCACCGCAATGGTCTAGGAGATCATCACTTGATAAATGATGCCCACGGGGAAGTGCGGACGGCGCTAGCTTATCTGACTACAAAACAGCTTGTCTCTCTTGCTTAATAACACGCACGCCCTCTGACAGCACGAATCATTTACGTAGCAACAGATGAGAACGGCCGTACGTGTTTGCACTTAACAAAACAGCCGGCAATGCAGTAGCTTTGGCCTTCGGAGATCACAGGCTGCGTAAGCACACTACAATAGAGTTCTTTTCATTCTTCGTAAGAGCACTTTGCAGACGACGCACAGGGGTTTCATGCATGTGCGTCCGGTCAGTCACACGTTAACTGTGCAAAAGCATTTATTTCATCGTCGACCTTGCCCTTCGCGACCAGAAAAACTCAGCAGCAAGAATAATTTCACCTTTGACAACACCACGCTTGGCATTGCAATCTAGAAAATGCAGTATGCCCAACAACAATAATCCTCACTTCATACTGAGAAACTTTATGGTGCACACACTCGGATGAAGCTGCGGCGCGGTGGACGGCCTGCGCTAGCCCCAACCACCAGGTTTAACTACGCATCCAGCAATCACATGAAGCAGCGACGACACTCCAGTCCTCCTTGGGAGTGGCCTAGGCCATGGCCACGATTTCATCGGAGTTTTCAGCCACCTAACACATCGCAGGCGGCTACCATTTCGCAGTGTTTACCTTTCGCAGCTGCAGCGCCCATGGCGCCCCCTGTATTTAAAATACTTGTAATATGTATTTAAATGACAAACCTAGGCTAATTGACTCGTTAAACACCTGCTTAGTAAAATTTTTGTAGGTTTAACACGAATTTACACAATTAACTAGCTTTAGGCAATAATTTTTAAAGTGACGTCACTTTTGTGCGGCGCAGAAGCCACTTCTGTGTGGGCTGGCTGCTGCGCCGCGCGGCGCAGGAGACGCTGCCTATTCGATCATAAGAGTTGCTAAACTCCACATAGGCTCCAAGTATCAAAATCCGAACACGGCATTGGCCGAAGTGGTGGATGATGATGATATGTGACTTTGCCCTTCGTAATGGGTGAATATATATATGTTGTGTTCCAGCCTAGGTATATAAAGAAAAGAACAAAAAAAAAAGATCAAAAGCACAAAGAGGAGTTCACTTTCGGCCCCACTTCCACCACTGTTGGAGCCTTGTCTTTGTGGTGGAAAGCTGCTTTTGCATTCCCGTCCGCCAAGGCCAGCGCCTTATAGAGTCACTGGAAAAAATTTCCAAGCGCTCAAATGTCTCCTGTTCCGCTCCGCATGCTCTGCATAGGGACGAGTGAATGTTTGGGTCAAAGTGGCTACGGTATGTGAGCGTGCGAAGCACTCCCGCATGCGCTTCTAACAGTAGCTTACTTCCACCACTGTTGTCATACACAGATATCGGGACAATGGCCTTTCTGTATGTGCGATACAGCTGCAGTGTACTCTTCTGCTGCATCGAGATTTCCCATTGCGCATTCTCCTCCTTCGCGTATCCGTTTCCAGACTGCTGCGGAAAACTTGTGCTCCGTGGTCTCGATTGTTGAGAGGTCCAACATATCGTATTTGCGTCGAAGGAAGTAGACTCTGTTCAACCACTGTGTCCTGAGTCCCACGAAGTACAGGTAGCGGAACATACAACGGGCTCACTGCTGAACGTTCATGAAGCGTAGGCGTCCTTCATAAATGATCTTGCTCGTGGCTTCCCGCGCCACGTACGTAGACCAACCCATGTCACTCTGGATAAACTCCACTGCAACCATTCCATGGCAGCACAATGCCAAACGGCCCACCTCCCTTTGGCCTCGCTCCAGCCACTCACGGTTCTTGCTGGACAGGCATATGATGGCGTTTGCAAAGGTCAGACATGGTACATGGATCGATTTCCACAGACCTCGCACCAATTAATCGTTGCAGCCGCAGAGGCTTCTCCAGGCGCAGAATGCAGCTCGCACTCAGCCGCAATCGATCCTCGTGCCCCGAGAATGGGTCTTTTCCCGTGCCTATGGTCACCCCCAGATGCCGGTATTCTGTTGAGAAAGGCAAGAAGTTCTAACGGGAGATTTGTGTTCACTTCTCCAGAAAATTGGACAACAGCTGACTTTTGAGTGTTAAACCGAAGGCCTAGGTCTGCCAAATGGAGAGCTGATATTGTCACCAGCTGTTGTAGCTGATGTAGGTCTTCTGCCATAAGAACAATATTATCGGCAAAAACCAGCCCTTGCAGTGTCCTATACTTCGGGCTGCCCTTCCGAGAGGAATTTCATCTGGAAACCGATATTTGACTGGATGAGCGCACTTTTTAAACCTGATGCATATAGCATGTAGAGCAGTGGCGAGAGCGGGCACCCCTGCTTGAGTCCTCTGCGGACCGTAACTGGCTCAGATGCCGTATCTGCCTAGCGTGCAACCACCGAACAATCGGCATAAAGGCGACGCAGAAAGTCTATCCATTTTTGTGGCACGTACAGCTGGGTCATGCGTTGCAGCATTAGGTCATGTGGAACGCTGTCGTATGCCTTCGAAACATCTAGGAAGCATGTGGGTAGATGGCAGGATCGTTTATGTGCAACCTCAATGCACTGGGTAACCACGAAAAGATTGTCCTCCAGGCATCTGTTTGGGCGGAAGTCATTTTAGAGTTCTGTGAGGTGTCTGCTACTTTCAGCCCATCTACTCATCCGTGCTTTAA